ATTAAGAATAATTAATTAATTTTGGAGGCCCACGAACACTCCCACTCTTTTCCTTTTCAGTTAAGATTTTTGATTAAAGATGCTATACAAGCGTCACTTGCAGATTACAAATTAATTGAAATTAATTAATCTTCGAGTACATTACAGATTTTGTCCTTTTAATTCCAAGAATGCAGACATCTTGTAATTTAATAGATTTTCTATGAAATCAATTATGAAAGATGATGAAATAATGTATAAAGTATTTTCTTTTCAGTGAATGAGTGAGGGTTTTTCCCATTCTTAGACCATCTTCATTAAATGCACAAACTTTTAGTTTCATTAAACGACAAACTTATAAAGTTTTTAGCTGAAGCAGTGATAACTAAGTTGCTAAACCGAGATCTGTTATTTCCAGTCATTTATTTTCAAGTGAGAGTAAATGTTTGCAAAATACTCAACAAAATTACGGGCAGCATGACAAAAGTTTGCCCGCTAGACAAAGACATTGTCATTCAACTCTCATTGGCACGTTCTTTCTTAATACTCTCACCTCACTAAGCCGTTAAGATTTAGCCATACATGATGAAACTCTAATTCTTATCTAGCGAACAGACATTGAAGGAACTGAAAGGATCAAAGTGGGAAAAAACCATGACCAGAAAACTTTCGTCACTTACCTGAAGAGAAATCAGACAATGTTTATTAAACTTTTAATCGCATTAGTAATCTCACAAAAGTTCGGAGAAGTAAAACAACTATATTTATATAAAACCAAATTAGCAGATTTGCGATTAAAAATGAATATGGGTTTCAGCTGTTTACTGGGCTAATTCTGCGCTTTCAAACTTTCGGATAGTTCCTGTTTTGTCACTGCGTATTCAAGCGCTTTCGTTATTTCCATCCACAGTTCCACATAGTTTGGTTCAGTTTTTCGAGGTTTCAAATTTACATTTCCCGGAAAAGTTTACATCTGAACTTTTGACAAGCGGAATTGGATTAGGTTGTATGCAGAAAATCTTGTTACCATTTTACAAACGAGGTAAAATTGAAATGGAGAATTTGTAGTGAAACATTGCTGTCGAAACGGAAACAATTGCAGTTACTTATAGAAGCGGATAAATTCGATTTTATGGTGGCTATTTGTGTTGGTTTATTATCATTATCACATTTATTTTGTTATTAGGAAGCTTTTTAAAGGCAATTCCAGTTTTGATGTTATCCTTTGATCACCAGAAACAATTCACAGAGAGGAAAAAGGAAGTGGGTGTGATTTTGAGACTCCTTAATGTAAAAGTTTGTTTGATTCAACCCGTCAAAAATTGGTGAGAGAAATGAGGATTTGCCAATTTCGTCTTTAAACAATGAAAAAAATATCCCACTTATATGACCAATGAGTTTTGAAGGAACCAGAAATATTAATAAATAAACTAATAGATGAAAAAAATTTAATGTATTTACTAATCCACTTTATCGTTTAAACTTCACTCGAGATATCATTAAATTTTTAGACATTTTTCATATTAAACCAATTATTTTTGCAAAAAACACCGCAACTGCAGTATGAATATTTTTCAACATTTTATTGTTTTTCCAGAACCTGAAACCTGAAATTTCAGTTGAAAGAGAACAGCAATTCAATTTGATTTTCAGACTTGAAAAGAGAAAATTTCCAAACATGTTTGCAATTACTTTCAATATTAAAACAAAAAATCGTATAGTCTAAAAGTGTTACAATTTGCAACATTTTTAGAATTTTAAAATTTTCTTTCATGGCTAAAGTTCCCAAAGGACGACCCTAAATAGCACATGTTCTCACACACTAATCAATATTATATTATGTGCGAACGAAATGAAATTTGAACTAAAAGAAACCCATGCTCTATAGTTTTGAGCAAAATACTTGTCAATGCGAGTAACACAAAATGTCTGGTGCCTTTGAAATCCTTAATCAAGTGAAACAAATAAATCATCGAATTACCGTCTTTCTTAGCTAAGCTTTCGCGTTCTGTACAATTTATTTAATTAAAACGAAGCCCTGCAGATACCCCCTAAAGAAAGACGATTCTTGAAAAGAAAATCTGTGTACGTTTTTATTAAATGTTACCTAAAATCTCGGGTTTCTCAGTGAAACGGGACGTCTTTAACTAAAATAAACAAAATCATATTTTCTAATCTTTTGCTACACACATCAGTTAAAAAGGGATGCTGATTTAACCGAATAATATTTATTTGAAATATGTCAGTTACATAAAAAGCATATTAGGTAGTTTTAAAATGTAATAATAAACGGATAATGTACTTTTGTATACAAACATCTATCGGCAAGTTTATGAATGTTTAATTTAATTCCTTCAATGTAGATAATTGTATTTTGATCCACAATTGCTTTTAAGAATGCTAACCCAATTAATTACTTTAATATTCATATCGATTTTAAATTTCCTCCTACACTCATTCATCTTTCTTGTCCATAAATTCCGTAGTCCAACGGTCTACTTTATATTTCAGAGTTGATCGACGGCCTGTTATTCCTCTTGCGCCAAAGAGCGTCTTCAGTAAATAGATAATAATTTCGATTGGATACACCGAACTGCAAAGTTTAGAACGCGATTCGGGATCTGTTTATTATATCGAAAAGTTGAAGACCGCTATCGCCGTACATTTCGAACTTTTGATAGCTGTATAAAGAATCATACCTTCGGTGTGGAGATCAGTAACGGAAAAGTAGCGTAAAGAACGTCTCTTTCAAAGAATTCTTGTTCCAGTAAAGGTAACAAATCAAAAGGCTGTCAAAAGTTCAGATTCGCCCGAACAAGAAGCATCGTCTCGAGGGGCCGATTTCCAGGTTTAGCTTTAATAGTTTTCGATGCGCGTCATAGATATAAATGCCAAAGTTTGAACGAATAAATTATGAACCATATATTGATTGCTGTTTGTGGCAACTTCTGAATGGGCTATTTAACTTCAGCACAGCCTATAAATTGTCTGCTCTATATATGATCGAAAGATCGAAAGATTTCTTAAATGTACATGAAAACTTATTTGGTTAGGACGGTGGTGAGCATATTTGGTATAATCTGGCCACTTTAAGAAACCATCAGCATATAACAGTTTCAATAAATTTGAAAACATCTTACTGCTTTCGAAACATGCAGGTTTATCACGCACCATCTCGTAAGTAATTATAGATCAGAAGATTTCGGTCACCAAGTACATAAATAACAAGAAAGTGGGAAATGGTAAAAAGTTATTGATTAATTATTTGAAGAATTCACACGTGATTCAGCATTAATAATTCCGTATGTCAGACAAGTTTATAAAAAAAGCAATGAAAGTTCAGCAATTCAGCAATTCAACCAAAAATCAAGCAAAAATCCATATACTAAATAAAATATTAGCTCAAAGTAGAAGCTTAAACTAAAAGCTGAATAATCACGACTTTACCTTGAAAGTTATTTAAAGACGAATAAAGGAAACCATCCTCAACTCAAAAACATAACGCAGAGAGTCAAGGGTAAATATTTCCATCTGACTTGTCTAATTAAAACTGAAAAACTGCATTAATTAATCCAAATGGAAACTAGTTGGAAATAGCGGAACTAAACCCGACTTTCTTCCGATGTCATGTCCTAAATACCGTTTAGTTTCCTTGATAGCCCATTCCATTTATCAGGACATAAATTAACAAAAGCACCCTCCGAACAAACCACGATTTATTGCTGGCCAGCTTCAAATGCATGCTTTCAGTTTTTATAAATAATTTACGTATATGCAGGCCCCCAAAACACCTATTGTTTTTAATGACACGAACTGATGTACACATAGATAAACGCCCCTGTCTCTGGCAGGATGAAAATGGGTTATTTGGTGAAAATATCAGCTGACATATAAATATTGTCCAACAAGCATTACGTCTAAAGCTATAGCAGTTTCATACCTCGTAATTCAAATGATTGCGGTAATTCGTTCGTTTGTTTGAACTCGACGCTTTTAATCCATTTGATAATTAAAATCCCGTTTTTTATATTCGAGTAAGTAAAAGCGAAAATGGGTCAATTGCAGTAATTTTACTTTTGCCTAAAAATGTTTTCTTTAAATTTTAACTCTAATTTTATTAGATGCATTATTGCTTGCTATTGTATTGTAAGTAGGATTCTCCTTTTCTTCAAACCTTTTCAGCAATGCACACAAATATTGTATGTATTTCTTTGTATAGAGTATTTTGTGGCCTCTATGAGGCTATTTAGGTGGAATGTCGACGTTATGTGCAAAAATCTTGTACAGCTCAAAATTCAGTAGATGAAGACATTTCCAATCCCACAAAATTGTTACTATTTTCAGTTTTAACATTTTGACGCCACTTTTCAAACATCAATTGTTCTTTTTCCAGAGCAAGATTTCATATATGTTTTTGATTATTCTGTATCAAAATTGGCAACAATTTCAAAATATTCATATTTACATTGCTTTTACTGTTATTGAGTGAATTAATTGCTCCCTAAAGTTTGCTTTTCGCTTCAAAGGAAACCATCCTTTTTCTTTAATTAATTCACAAACCTGCAAACGAAATGTTATATTATCTGATTGCCTCCCTCAAAAATACTGTATTTTGCTGATAAACAGAAACTCGTTCAACGAATTCCCTTTAACTTTGTATTTCGAAGATTTTGTGTTTTCTTGCCGCAATACATCGAGTTTCCGCATTTCATTAATTAAATTTCCGAAACTTATTACATCTAAATAAGCCTTAATGCAAAATTCAATTTAATTACGGTTTAGATGAATATTTAATTATTGAATGTAGTTCTATTAGTTGCTGGCAAAGGTAGTTGCAGAAAGTTTCGTCACTCTGGTAATGTATGGAAAATATATACAAATTCTTAATATAATCAAGTATTTTAATGTTTTATCCAATGTCTGCATGTGCAGATGCTTTCTGTAAACACCATTTCCTTTACTCACTTTAATTAATTTCAGAATTTAAACTCTGCACAAATTCAGTTTGATCAAAAACTTACCTAAAGTTGTTAGATTCACGATTTGCACGACTTCGTGGCAGCTCTCCTTAACTTCGATGTAGGTTATCTCACACTTGTAAACAGCTTCGTCGTCTACATGCACATCTTCTATTTTTAGGATGGCCTGTCCGGCTTCGGTAGGATATTCTACATTCATTCTGAAAAAAATATAAAGTTCTAAAAACGGGTTTGTGTGTAACACAAGTATTACATTTCAGAATAAAAGCGACTAAAATTCTTGAGTTTAATTTTTTCAAATAAATTTGTCATCTCCACATTATTGAATGTTTTAAAAATGTGAATTTGAGATCGACGTATAGACGAGTAGCAGCAAAAAAGCTGCCAAAAAACTAATCACAAACAATGTGCAAGTTGGCCCAGTTTAAGGCGTAAACGGATTCTATTTATACGTTTGCTCATAGTAAAGATTTCCGTAAACCAAACATCACTAATTATTGATCAAATAGTATATGAATCGCCGCTTTCTTACCCTCATAGCTCTAGTTAATATATTCCTATTAGCGAAAGGACTTGCCTAACGAGTCGATATATTATAATCATTGTTCGAGAGCTTATCTGGCTAAAAGCTCCTATTTTTTATCGCTTGTTGTTCGCATGTGTACTTTATTGGACCATTTGCCATTATTGCCACCGAAAATGCCTATAAATCGTTAAGGACAATGTGGGACCACATTCCAAGTATGGTAAACAAGTAAATAAGTATATTTTCAACAGTTTCAGAGACGATTAGTATCACTGTTTGGAAACAATTGAATATTTCTCATTTAGTCATTCATTGAAAGAAATGACTGCTACTGCCGAAGCTGACATCATAAAAAAATCGTTTGAAATAAAATTATTGGCACCTTCATTGCGAGTTCTTCAAAGTATAAAACATCGTCAAGGGCGAGTACGGTTTGTGCATTAAAGAATAAAAAGGCAGTAAAATAGCAACAAAATATGTAAAACGGTAAATATCTGTTGGAGATGGAGGGTGTTACGCCTGCAAAGAGTCAGAAGCTTTAGCCTGAATGAATAATCGGAATCAATCCAAATTCGGGCTTAATTTCGGAGGTCTTCATTTTCATATGTAGGTTTAATTGGTGCACCCTAATGAATTCTATACTTAACAACTGAATACTAGCGAAACTCCGAGAATGAATAGTGAACAATATTTTGTATCATCCCTTATTTCAGCCGCATATTTGACAGCAAAATCAAATACTTCCTAAGTAAGCTCACTGTGGAATCCAATCTCGACTTATTGCCAAATCCAGTGATTTCATTTCAAAGCGATATGAATTGAATGGGGAGTTTGATCTTTCATTGAAATTTCAGGCATTTCATTAATGAGCGATCGCTTATTAGTCCCGCATAGCTCTGGATTTACAAAATTAATTATTGTTACTATACTTCCATATTGGATTTGAAATATTTATTTGATATCTCTTTTGAGCATTCTCTAGCGCAAACCTGATTTGAATAATTTCACTAAAATACATGCGACTGTGTTGTTCGCAAAAGGTGGTTTTCGTGTTGAATCAATAATAAAATTCATATTGATATGTATGTTGTTTTGATAAATAATACATATTTATTTAACATAAAAAATTATTCGCATTTGAGAAGCGTTTCCCACGCGTGACGAGATTTTGATTGAAAGAAACAAGGTGTATCAGTTATAAAACCGCTTTGTTGCGTCCCATGTTGGAATAGCGATATATGTTCCGACGCGGATTAACTTTGATTATATGTAAACAGGGACTAAAATCAGTATTTCGTTTTTGTTCTTTTTAATGAAAAACATAATTGACTTGCAAATATTGTTAGAGATTATTTGATACTTCATATTACGCTTCAGAAAGAGTGTGGTTTGACCACGTCGACTGACCACTCCCCTCATCAGATACAATATAACGTGATGCAGCTGACATAAGGGCAGGGTAGGGCTGATTATCAAAAATTTGTTTGTTCTGACACTACATTTTCATTAAATGACCCAAAAAATTCCAAACAATATTATTACTTCATACGGCAAATAAACTGTAGATTTTTCCAACTCTTATGTACCAGCTTAAATCACGCAAGTCATAGTGTACAATTTACCAAGCATTTCAAATCAAATTATTAAACTTCTGATATATCTCTTGATTGTATCAAGACGTTATAAACCACCTGACAAACCAAGCGGGACATTTATGCGAGTAAGTTGGTGTCGAATGAGCTGTAAGCCATTAGAACTTCCATAAATAGTTGCAGCCTAACATCCAGAATGTCATTTAATAGGACCTTAGAGTGGTAGTGTTATAAAGTTCCAAGACTGGACCCCTACCGGACACTTTGGGGACGCAACGGTTTATAAATACCAACTTTGCAGAAAATTAATTTGCATTCGAAATGTTCTAAGCAAGCATGTAGCCGGCTCGGGATTACAGCTATACTATCGTTTCGCATTTAAGAGAATATGGGAAATTCATAAAGGCGTTGCATATTTTACTAGCCCTTAAGCCTAGCCAAATATTCCAGATTGCTTTTCATATTGGGCACTATTTCATTGGGGTATGAAACGCTCTCGCCGCCAACGTATTCATTGGAATTCATTCATCAGCACATTCTACTCATGTGCCAACAAACGAAAATTAAAAGTCCGAGATGCAATTGAATAATAGTCCGTGAAAAATTAAAAAGCAAATTTTTGGTAAAGAAATTATTAATTAAATGTAAACTTTGAACATTATGCAACACAAGAAATATTAAACAGATATGAGATTCAATTTTGCTTTCTGCTACATTATTGTTGTACTGAGAATCGGAGATTTTCTGATCAGGAATTAATTTTGGAATAACCAGCTATAGTACATGCAATTGATTCCTAATGGCAGTAATTTGTAACTAAACAAATTGTTTTTTTAGGTTCAACAAAAAAATAAATTAGTTATTCCACCACGAGAATACTAAATGTCGCATTGTAGAAATATTGTCTTTTGCGTTATGGTTTCATATTTGTTAAAGCTTTTAGAATGGTTCATTAATTTCAAGTAGGTAATGCAGCTAACATTATGTTCACAAAATGTGCTTATTATTGCTAATACTGTTGAAAGAAAAATATCTTTATAAAGTTGGGTGTTGCACAAATTGTGAACACTGCATCAACCAGATATTTGAACTAAACATATATGTAGATACAAATTTATTATTGCGTTTAAAATTGAAATCAAAATTAACTATTTATTAATTTAAGAATACAAATCAATTTTCAAAAGTATGTCACTATTAAGCTTATTTGCTATGATATTTTTGGAAAAGCAATAGACAAATCAGGGAAGATTTCCATTTTCCAAACGCTTGTGAGAGCGGAATTAGTGTATAGTCAAAGTTCTTGATTTCGGAATACAGATTTATTCCCCAGCAACTTCGGACAATTTTTTTCTCTTCTTAGTCGTACATTTATAATTCTGTCTTGTTATACATACATACAAAACTCAAATTAGTTAAGAAGACGTTAGAGGAATACATTAGTTTTCAAATTTTGAAAGTACCCAGCAGTTAAACAGAAAATAATTACACCATATTTTAATCCATAAATGATGTCGAACTTTAATTTGATTTTAGAATTTATGGAAACATGGAGATGGTTCTTCATTTCTATTCCCGCAAATTCATCCCATAACTATGGCTATTAACAGCCAGCTCGATAACGCGCTAATATTTAAAATATATTTAAATTTTATAGGCAGTTAGCCATATTTTAGCAAACTAATGCACAAACATCCATGTGGATTATTCGGCTGGGGACAAAACAGTTCAACTGTGTCAATCAGCAGGTAGGTATATGCCAACTTGCTGAATATTGAGGAAATCAAACATGCCACTGTTTGCTAATAGCATCGGTGATTGAGACTGCAGTGTGTCGATTTGACCATGTGACTGATGAGGTGTTTCGAATTAATTTATGAATAGCTTCAATTAGCTCCCATCCTTTATAATTAATTATATTTCTTCATCTGTATTTAACTCGCCAATTTTTTACGCCACTCTCATTTCCTATACATCAGACTCTATCGATTTTTTGACAACGTATTTGAATGTTAATGCGATCTTGTGCCACTCTGCATTAGAAAATTATACATTTAGATGACAAGACAATAACGAACAAAATAGCGGATAATGTGCAAATTTTTATGTTTTGGCGAAAAAAAGGTAAGTTATTATCAGAAATACCTACCTCTTAAATAGAAGTCCATGTGGTTAGACTCAATTGAGAAACGTAAATTACAGGGCCAGAAAGAAAATGCAAAGTAAGTGCTACTTACATTAACATTTAAGACAGAAGGAGCCTGAAGAAGACTTCAGAAAAAAGGGTTCTTGTCCGTTCCTTTGAACTTGTTTGTAGCGGCACTGAGAAAAAGCACATACAATCACGAAGAAAAGTCGGCTGAAGTTGAATTCATTGTGCCTTATACGAATGCTTAACGAACTCGACGATAAAATTTCTCCGCACTACACAAATCATTTATTCGAAAATTGTAAATTATTAGTCAGGTATTTAAAATTATGCCTTTTGATTATAATAATACCACGAGCTAAAATAATCAAAAAGTTCCACTGATCCTAGCTAAAAATATAAGCAATAACAATTCTTAAGCAATCCAGCTAGGTATAGATAAAAACACAAAACGAAAATAAAGTCAAAAGATTCGGTTTCAGCCGAAGGAATAAGTGTAACCCACGAAAATATTTGAGTAGTTTTGCTGCAGATTCTGAATTAAAATTTCGAGGAAATGTCTAGAGCATGAGCAAAAAATAAAAAAGCGATAAAGTAGCAATTACACTTTATCGGTGATTCAGCACATTTCTGAACCTTGCCCTACAGCTTGGTAATAAAGCGGTTGAGGACTTTGTTTTGTTGTTTCATGTTCTATTTTACTGAAATTTTGATATGAACAACAGTCAATAATTTCTCGATAAAAACACGAGTTTCTCTATCAAAATGGCAAACAAAATAGCTTGGATGAAACACAAATGGATGAAATTTTTTATGGGCCCACGTTTTGCTTCACTTCCCGTTCAAAATTTCACTCGCGTCGTTGCTTTCATATTCCAAACAACTTAATTTACAGAAAATAACTTTGAACATTTCTATTTTAGCAATTGAGAT